TGTTCATAAAAGTAAGGAATTGCTGTTTGAATCTTTTTATTGCTGCTAATGTGACACAGGCAGTGGTGATGGATTCAGAGAGCCTTTGCACAGGCTGAGGATGTTCATGCTGAGAAGTGGCACAAAAGTGGGTGCTTGTGCTCCCTCCCGAGGGGTGCAAACACTTGCCTGGGTCTCCCTGGGTTTGGCTTCATGGAGGAGAGGCTGTTGGGGCGGTGCAGTGTGCCCCTGGCACATCCCCTGGCACTGGGAGGGGAAAATCAGCCTCTCCTGAGCTGTAACCCCAACAGCTTTTCCCCTGAGGGGAAGCTTCTCCCCACGGAAGCAGGGTCCCAGCCCCTCTGAGAGGGGCTGGGGTGGGATTTGGACCCCCCAGCCCTGTGAGTTTGATGGCACGGAGGGAAGCGGGGCAGTTTTTTAATCTTAATCTTGTTGTTTCCAGAGCTGCTGGCGTGGCGGGACAGGGAGGTGTTTTTCTTTTGGCAGAGACAAATAGACAGAGCCAGACCCTCCCGGCTGCCGCTTCTGCTCTCAGACATGATGAACAGGTCCCAGGAGAAACCCCAATTTCCCAGCCCCGGGGCAGGATGAGTGCTGTACGGCACGGCACCAGGCCAGGACTTTGTCTCAAACCTTGCAGCCTCACACCCTGTGCCAGTCCCCGTGCCTCGGTGGGGGGTTTTGGTCAGCACCCCGCTCACAGCTACCGTGGGACAAGGAGGAGGCAAGGACCAAAAAACATCCCCTTGCTGAGTTCTCCCTCCCCATCCCTGTGGATGTCTCCAAATTAGGGATGTTATTAATTACAAGCTGCTTTTCCCCTGACTGCTGCTTGCACAAATGATAACTGATTTTAAATGAATTGAGCCAATTACTGCGGTTTTCCTAAAACAGACAGCAATTCTCGGGTAAGGAGGAGCAATCCCAGCTGCAGCGGGGATAAGAGTTAGACACTGAAATGCCCTTTGGGCCCGAATTTCCAGCTGTCACGGTTTCCTGGGTAAGTCTGGCTGCTTTTCCTCGGTTGCATGTGAATTTAGGTGGTAGCAGCCAGGGGCTGCTGAGCCACCTCAGGCCAACGGCGCTGGAGAAGGTGACAGTATCTGCTCTGTGTGCAATTACCTGCTAAGAATGAGTGATGCTGGAATGATCCTTCCTGATTACGAGCAAGCAGTGCCTGAAAATATCCCTGTATTTATGGAAAAGTGGAAAGAAATAACTCCTGAATGATTTTTCAAGGGTGGGGCCTTGGGGCTGGGTTTGGGGATCTCCCAGTTCCTTGGGGCATGTGGGGATTTCCCGTATGGGAAAGGTGTGGGTTGTCCAAGGGCTCCTAAAGGGTAGCTCCTGCCCCAGGTTAGTCAACCAAATGGTTATTTCATAGATGTGCCAAGCTGGTTTGCTGTGCCCAGATCTGATCTGTAGATGAAGTTCATCAAATTTTAAAGAACAAATAATTGTCACTGGATGTCTTGTCCTCGTGATGTGATCAGCTTCAGTGAAAAGGAAATATAATGAAGATGGATTAAAGCTTAACTGTGTGAAAATGAGTTAAGGAATCTTGAAATCAAGTTCCCATTTGTCTGCCTTTCCAAATCATGGGAAATATTGATTTACTTGCACCAGAAGCAGTGACAGCACGCCACGGTCCCAGCAGAGAGGGTGAGGAGTGACACACGTGCCACCGGCTCTGCGGGACGGGGGCAGGTCGAATCCTGCGCCGCTCCTCAGCCAACTCCGTTTGCCCCGAGCCCTGGGCATGGGAGCACCGGGGACCGAGCCGAGGAAGAGGCTGGGCATCACTCCCTCACGCCAAGGCTGGTGCCCAGGCTCCGTCTCACTGAGGATGGTGGGACCAAGCCCGAGCTCTTCCCAGGGCCCGTCGTGTTCCCCGGTTTGGCTGCAGCCCCCCCCCAGCCCTGGGTTTCCCTCCGCCAGGAGCTGCCCCTGGACAGGACAGTCCCCTCTGCAGCCCACGCAAAAGCCTCTGGAATTGAGGCTAGATGAGCTGTTGCAAAATCAATTAGTGATAAAACCCTGTGGGCAAAGAGTACAATTGTATCATTTTATTATGTTGCCATCTGAGCAGTAAAAATACATAGATATACACGTATAAAACAATCTGAAACACTGGGTCAGAAATCTGGGCTCCTGCTGGCTGCTTCCCTTTTAATCTCCTATTAAGTGATATATCTTCTGATTGCTTTTGCCAGCTCTCTAAATTTAATAACTGAACTAACCATCTTCTCCTTTTGTTTGCATATAAATAAGTGTTGGATCGATAAAGAACATCTTTAAAAGCCTCTGGATTTGAAAAATGAGGGGACCATAGCCTGGCGGGCAGTTGCAAGAAAATTATGACTTCACACATCCCAAAACCACTGTTTAAAACAAGGAGGGGGTGGACAAAAAAGAAAAAACCCCTCGATGAGATGCTTTCTGCTACTGAAAGGTTGAATTGATGAGGACTAGATGAGGTTTCAGCTTTTGGTTGCAGATTGCCTGGCTGCTTCACTCTTCCCCTACCCCTGTGATTTTGGAAAAACCGTGCTGCAACTTGGAAGCCTTAATTTTTTGCGGGGATTTGTTCAAGGGGAGCCAAGCATCATCATCATCAGCTGCTGCTGCGGGGCCACCTCGGATGGAGAAGGCCTGCTCTCTTGGGGTGGGTTTATTTCTTTATTCCCATCTGCAGCGTCCACCCCAAATAAAGCACTCTTCCTTTGCATCGTGGATGACTTCAAGCTGCCTGTACCTCGAGAGCATCACCAGCCAGCCACACTCGGGGCACCCCCAGGCGACGTCCACCTTGAGCAGGCTCCTTGCAGCGGGGTAGATGCACCAAGGAGGTAAAACTATTCTGTTGGAGATAATTCCCTCTCAAACCACCCCCGGGTGCTCGTGACCTCCGCTGGTTTTGTGAAGGGCTCTCGCTCGGCCGCTGCGGTGTCATGGGCAGCTGGCATCTGCTCCATCCCTCTCGTACCCGTGGGAAATCCCCCTCAGCCCATCCCGGCGTGGTCCCTGGCTCTCCGGAGCTCCCTGTTAGGGGTCATGAGCTGCTGTTATCCCCCTCCAGGGTCTGCCACATCGTTGTGAATTCTTCCAGCATTGCTGCACGGTAGCAAAAGGCAAGCAGCTCTCCGCTATAACTGCAGCATTTAAAAAAAAAAAAAGAAAAAAAAAAAGCAGGGAGGGGGGGATACACAGCCAGGCACTGTGCTCTGTTCAGGACGCGTGGTTGTGGAGGGTTGCGTTCCCATAATATATTGCGCTCAAAAGTCTAGGGGGTGAGATAAGCAATGCCGAGGAGGCCTCCTTCGCACGCGGCGTGTTCAATCACTCACTATAAAAAAGCCCCGGTGCCTCCGCTCCTCTGCTTCTCCCTCGCTTCAGAGAACAAAAGGAAATGGGCTTGTTGCTTTGTAGGCGAAGGAAAGGAGGCTCCTGAGACCGGGGGAGAGCGGGCCATGAATTATTCAGTGTAGCTGTCAGTGCAGGAGTGATGCCAAGACCCACTCCTGTGGTGACCCCAGCATCAGGCCCTGGCTGGGAGCCCCGAATTTGGATGGATTCAGGCGCAGACCTGCTGGGTGTGGAGGCAGGAGGGTGCCTGGAGAGCTGGGGCTGGGGGTACCATCCTTTTCCCCCTCCCAAGGGCACGGCTGTGCTGGTGGCTTGGAGGAAAAGGTGGTTTCTATTCCTGCATTCTCATCCCAGGGGCGAGCCGTGGACTTCCCACCATTTTTGGTTGCTTTGGACCAAAAAAGGAGGAAAAATGCATGAGAAGGGGCATGTGTGTGCTGAACGGGGAGGGTGGCAGAGGGCAAGAGCCCCGGCAATGAATGAGCTTGGGCTTGTTCTCCAGCCAGCTCGGTAACAAATTCACTGACACAGGGAACAATTTTTCCCTGACTCTGCCAATTCCTTAACGACGCTGACTCGAAGGGCCCCGCGGGGAGGGGAACTTGAACTCTGCAAAAAGCTCTCTGCTGAAGCTTTATTTAAGACTACGTGGGGGATACTTAAATATTAAAGGATGAAAAAATAATGGCTGGTGGTAGGCCGGGCAGCGAGGGTCATGGTACAAATGGTGGCACCGACTGCCCTGTGCCCTGTCTGTGTCTCTTTTTGCCTCTGAACCCCTTTGGTGCTCCAGCGAACGGGGCTGTCACCTTGCTGGGGATGGTCACTGCTCCCCGCTCTGTGAGCCGGGCCGGTCTAAACCACAGATCCCCCTTCCCGTGGCTTTTGAGACAGTTCCAGGTTTGCAACCCCGACAGCAGCACTGCATTTTCTCGGCTGGACACCAACATCTTGTCAACGCAGCCCAAGAGAAAGGACAAGGACTGAGCATCTGTAATTTTCTCTGTGCTGCTTCTGCTTATTTCTTATTTTTTAATCCCTACTTCTTGTCTGTAGAAGTCCTTGTGCTGACACAATATTATTTATTTATAAAATATGTACAGGAAAGTGCTTGGGAACCTGTCCCACCCTCCAAGGTTGGCCACGCGTGTCCAGCTGGCAGGAGCAGAGGTGAGAGACAGTTGCTCTGCTTTGGAGTCAGGAGGAGGAGGGAAAGGAAAGGGCTGAGAAAGATAGAGACTTCAAAGTATGTGAGCAAATATTTACAAGTTCCAAGACAAAAAAAATATATCTACAGTGTTGTCTTGGGGATGCAGGGAGTCGGGCTGGAAGCAACGCCTGCTCACAGCTCCATTTGTTATATTGATTTATGAAGACTATGGGTATTGATTTCCATCGGCTGTGCCAGCGGCGGGGCGCGCAGCTCCACGGAGCCCCGGGCTCGGGGGCTGGCAAGGGGCAGCCGGGACTGCTCCAGCCACGGGCTCGTGCTTCTGGGGTTTCTGCAGCGGTGGGTTGTCATATACTTAGTTTTTCGCAATTGAGGGTTGAATGCTCCTGCAACACTCCCTTGAATGCCAGGGAAAGGGGAGGCTGGCAGGGAGCGCGTTTCAGGGTGGCAGGGAGGAAAATATTGCAGTCTGGGGTTTCGCGCTGGCTGTGGCTGTTTAAACATAATGTGAACAAAGCTGGGGGTTTTGCTGGTGCTTGGGGCAGGTAGGGACGGTCCCCAAAAGCTGACCAGCTGTCCATGGTCTATGCAGGTGATACTTGGCTGGAGGAGATGGAGGAGACCTCAGTCTTGCCCTGGGCTATGTTGGAGGAGATGTCTTCATCCTCAGAGGGGTTCTTGCCACAGCAGATTGTGGTGATCATACAATGACGGAACTGAAGAGGGCAGAGAAATGGAGGATGAAGGTATCGAGGGCCAACGGGGATGTGCTGCAGGACCAAGAGCCCCCAGCAGCCCCTGAACTTGCTGCTCTTTCGCAGGCTGATTCAACCACTTCTGGGAAAGAGCAAGGTGCCAGTGGTGACCCCAGACATGCTGGTATGCCCTGCACGGCATGGGGCATCTCACCTGTTTGTTCATGAAGATGTAGATGACAGGGTTGTAGAGGGAGGAGCTCTTGGAGGAGAAAGCAGGCACTGCCATGAGCGTGGCGGTGAAGTCTGCTCCCTTGTTGGTGAAGATCCAGAATGCCACAACAGCGTAGGGTGTCCAGGCCAGCATAAACCCCAGTACCATGAGGATCACCATGTGTCACCTCCTTCTCAGCCTTCTGGGTCGTAGCTGATTCCTGCTGCTGGGCAGCTGCCTGTGGGCAGGGGGATGGTGAGGGCCACCACGCAGCTTTCTGTCCCCGGACCACGTCCCTTCTCCCGCCCACCCTGGCCCATGCCTCTTCCCAGCATTACCTCTCAGACTTTGCAAATAAGGCGCCTGTAGGAGAAGAAAATGACCATGACGGGGATGATGAAGTGGATGATGAACATGCAGAGGATGTAGGACTCATTGTAGTAGTCAGCATTGTGGGTGCAGTAGTCGGGACTGCAGGAACACTGCATCCCCTCTGGCATGTATCTGCCGGTGAGAGAGGTTAGGACCTTCACCGGGACCTTCCCTGGGAAAAGCAGGAGCTCAATTTAGGGACCGAACTCCCCAAGGATAGGGGGATGCTTGGAGAGTGGCACGTGTGAGTTGGGTGAGCTCCTCCCCAGCTTCTCCCGTGTGCACCCTTGCTGTCTCTGCAGCGTGCGACTCCTTCGCGGCCGGCACGAGCCCTGCCGGTGGGTTGCACTTGGGCACATAGCATCAGTTTGTTGTGACACTCGCTCCCTCCCACAGGAAAGGGCTGGTAGGGGTTTGCTATGACCCCACAGCGCAGCTCTGCAGTGGGGTGTCAGGAGGGGCCAGAGCTGCAGCAATAGGGAAATTGCCTCCATCTCCTCAACACCTCCCTTACGCTCTGGGTGGCCTTTGCTTGCTACATCTGCTCCCAGCCAGGGATGTGGGTGGGTGCAAGAGCCAGATATGGGCTTCAGCGGCTCAGGGGACACATTTGCTGGAGCCTTGTGAGCAGCCAGCGTTGCCTCTGTTATTCTTGGGGGGCATTTGTTGGTGGAGGGCTGAAATGTGCTGCGGTGCTGGGAGCAGGGCAGATGGGATCATGGGGAGAGTGGAGCAGGGTGGCAGCATGTCAGCAAGGCCAGGTTTGTCTCCCCAGAGCAGCCTTGCCTGCTGGCCTGGTTGTGCAAATGCTCTTTATGATCTGCAGAGAGAAATGGGCCCTTTGCAGCATGGGTGAGGCGAGCCGTGCCTATCGAAGACCCTATTTCTCTGCGGAACATAACAGGAGCACAAGGGGCTACTGCAACTGGAGATGTTGAGCCTGTGGATGCCTTGGTTAGGGGACACCAAGCCAGCATGAGACTGAAGTCCTGTTTCTGTTCTAACTTGCCCCATTGCCTCTTTTTCCTGGAGCCCGGGGACTTTCACGTCCAAGCCATGAGTGCATCTCCTGTCCCACTGGGGTGTTTGCACAGCAGCTGGGGTTCCTGCTCAGCGTCCTTCAGCTCACCTGGATCAGCCAAAGAGGGGTGGAGCAGCACAGGAAAGGGCCATTATCCAGGTAAAAGCAATGCCCCCCATGGCGTGGGTTGTGGAGAAGCGGAAGTTTCCCATGGGTTTGCAGATGATGATGTAGTGCTCTATGGCCAAGACAACCAGGGACCACAGGGCAACTTGGCCTGTGGGAGGGAGAAAAAGACAGAGCATGTGGTGGTGGCAGGAGCTCCCCTGGGCTTGATCTTCCCTTCGTGGTCTCGTGGTTGCGGTGAAGAGCGGAGGTAACTGAAGAGTTGGGGATCAGCAAGGGATAACCAGCATCCTACTCGATAACTGAGAATATCCTGGCCATAACATGCAAAAGGTCTGGGAGCCAAGGGGATTCTGTGCTGCAGTGGGATGCTGGCAATGGAGGAGGGGATCATGATGTTTTTTTAATAACTTAAAAATCAAGGGGGTGAATTCCACCTGGGTGTGAGGAAGCAGAATTTCCGGCAAAAATGCCAGATGTGTCCAACCTGTTGATGCCTTTAAATGTGTATTTCATGAGCCTTCCGCCAGTTCTGGATCAGGGGGAGGCTGTGTGGGTGGGCATGCGTGCACATGTATTTATAAGGGATAATTAAACTTCAGGGGATTGGGAGCGTTTAGTCGGTGCTGTAAGCCTGCTAATGCCCCCAGCTGTGATAATCTGCTGATAACTACACCCTGTGCTAGGATTCGCTGGAGACCCGCTGCTTGCACAGTGGCTGCCTCCCATCAAACTTTCTTCCCTGTGAACAGGAGCCTCCTTGTTCTTTACTAGATACAAACATTGGATGGGCAAGTAATGTTGTCTGAAAGCCCACAGGCTCCCTTGGTCAGAAATGGTGTAGACCCATGCGATCTTCTGACCCCATGACCGAGCCCTTCCTTGATCCTCAGCTTAGATCAGGACATTCTGCTTTTGCCTGGCAGAATATCCTTTTTTTTTTTTTTTTTTTTTTTTTTTTTTTTTTCAGATCAGCATCATTGCAGGAAATTGCCCCATTTAGGGGAGAAAAAGTGAAGTCCTAGCAGTGGTTATGGATCTCTACAGCAGGGATTAGCAGTTGTCAGATCCATCACGAGGTGTTGTGTGGGCCCGGCTGGCTGCGTGGGCACAGGGTGCAAAATGAATTTTCCCTGTTTTGCACGGGGGCTTTCTGCAGGGCGAAGTGTTAGCGGCTCTCATGTCCCTGAGAAGTGAAATAAGGAAGCTCCCAAGGGCACTCAAAATGAGTACAACTGGGACAAGAGCTGAGCAATTGCTGCAAAACCTGGACCTGGTTTCCCTAGCTCTCTGCTACTCTGAATCCTCTTTCCCCTCCGTGCTGCTGCTCTTCTCTTCTGGTTAAGCACTGTCACGTCTTCCTTTTGTCCCTAGATAAGTGGTGACCCCCTCGCCTTGTCTTGAACTCCTCCTCTCCATGTCCATACCCCTTCTTCAGGGCCCCTCTCCCAAGTGGTCCCTCTCCTAGGGGATGTCTTTTCCCTCCCCAAACCCTCCCAAATGCTTGACCTTCTCCCAAGAAGATGCTTTTGGAAAAGGTGCTTGTCATCGATTCAAGGACATGGTGTGGTCATCCCCAGCAGGTCTCTGCTAGCCATGCAGCTTCGGTGTGAGACCCCTGGGCAGTGTGGCCAGATGACCCCAGGCTTGATCCTCCAAACAAGGATCCCTCCCCGGGGTTAATTTCCTTACAGCTGCCCTGCTAGTTGTGAAATGGGCTCTTCTTGGCATCGAGATCAAACTTGCATAAATCTCTCTCGTTATCCCCATCAAGGGAAGCAGCACCTTGCATGGTGAGCTCTGCCCCGTGCTAGGAGCTGTGACACCGCCGCGGCATGGGAGATGGCTTTCCGCACAGGAGGGACGCTGGAGGCATCGCAGCCATCCCAGTAACATGATGAAGGGGTGGAATTGGGCTCCTAAAGCCCTGAAGAAGCAAGATCACCCACTGCCGAGCCTGGCCCTTAAACCCAAGCTCCCACCCCACAGCCCTTACCTCCCAGTGTGGCAAAGAAACCCTCCATGGCACAGCCGACGGGGCCAAAGACGAAGGAGCCATTCCAGGCAGAGTAGAAAGTGACTGTGAAGCCAAAACAGGCCATGAAGAGGTCAGCCACTGCCAAGTTGACCAAGATATAGTTGAGTGGCTGCCGGAGCTTCTTGTGTTTGAAGATGACCAGGAGGGTGAGGAGGTTGATGGGGGAACCGGTAGAGATGAGGAAGAAGATGTAGCAACACACAACGTGGTATTTCCAGGGCTCAGCTTCGCACCACCCCTGTCTTGTTGGACATAGGCATGTAAAAATTGACACCTGTCCCATTCATCCTGCCAATGTTACGGAAGCTGCTTTGCTTTTAGTTTGGTTGTTTTTGTTTTTGTTTTTGTTTTTGTTTTTGTTTTTGTTTTTGTTTTTGTTTTTGTTTTTTTTGTTTTTGTTTTTGTTTTTAAATCAAACACTCTGGCTTTTTTTAACTAATTTTGCTTCATGCCCAGTTGAACAAAACCCCCAAAACCAACAGGAAGCCTCACCCCTCTATGTGGAAAAATACCCAACTAAAGGATTTCTCCCGCTGGCCCCGCAATCCAAAAATAAATTAATAAGAACAACGGTAAGTCCTGAGGTGATGGGAGATGGTACCCTGCCCCTGCTCCAGCCCGAGGGCTGGCAATGCCCACATGCCAGAGAAGGTTTTATACCCTCTGGCCTCCTTGAGGAAGCGCGGGAGGAGGCTGGATTAGGGGCTCGGCTAACTTTGTATGACAAGAGCAACGGGATTGAGAGGGGTTGATGGTTTAAGTACCCTCTAAGCAGCCAGTTGGCCCCAAAACCTGTATTAAAGCGTAATAATTGCCATTAAGTGTTTAATATTGTTTAAGGAGTTGGAGGGAGGAAGGGATGTGGTGGGGAGCCCTTTGGAAGAGGAGTAAATGTAGGAGGAGCGGCGGTGAGTTGAGGAGCAGGTGCTTTGGGCGATTGATGGGGAAATGGATCCACGCTCAGGTTGGTGGTGGGTCACAGCCTTTGGGGTGTCCCTGGGCAGCTGAAGGGCTCCATGGGGGTGTCTGGGGTCTGGGGAGCACCCAGGTCTGACCTGCTGATCTTGGGGAGATTGCTGGGGAAAAGCTGGACTGAGCTCTGCGGGTCTGAGCTGCGGGCTCAGCTCTGGCTGTTTGGGTGCCCGGTTCAGTGTGGGTGCTGCCTGATATGGGTATGTGTCTCCATCACAGAGCAAAACCAGGCTCTGCTGACATGGCCAAGGGCCACCTCTGTGCAAAGGCAGGAGGGAAAGCTGCTTCCCATCTCAAAGGCTGAAATCTTGGTAAACACAGCATTTTGTGGGCAGGTCTCTTGGTTGAATTATGCGCTGAATCATGTACCCTGGTTGTGCTAGAGTACAAAGGACTGAATTTCCTCCTCTGCCTTGCCTCCTCTTTGGGCTAAAGGAGATCCATTATTCAGCTGAACCTCCAAGGATCTCTGGCAGGACTGGAGGGAGCACACCATCAAGCAGGGCTGGATGGGGAACGGCCAGTCCTGGGGATCCCTGTCTCCTGGGGAGCTGCTGGTGAGTGTTTCCCAGCCGAGCCCCCTCCTCATCCCAACAAGCGGGACACCAATCTGGGTTAGCTTTGCAAGGGTTGGCAGGGTTTAGCCACAGCTCTGAAAGCAGCCTGACGAAATGCCACTACCTGCTGGAGAAACAGTGTCTGGGTGCCCCTGGGGAGGGAAGGTAAAGCCTCAGTAACGCTGATATCCTGAATTCCCACCAGAGATAGTGCAGAGAGATCAGCACCAGCCCGTAGCCACACTGGGAGAGCAAGTGGGATGGAAAGAATCCTCTCCCAGTCTTTTAGCACTGAGTACAAGGTGTGGGGATCCCCATCCCAGCACACACAAGAGTGTGAAACCCTTCTCAGCAGGGTCAGTGGCCACGTGGACCACCAAAGCTCCATCCCATCCAAGTTCTTCCCCACTTCTTCTTTCTGGGTCATGGGTGCTCCTTCTCCAGGAGACCTGCCTAAGGCACCTTAGCGAAGCTCTTCCATTAATCTCTGACATCTGGTGGCGTTAATGGCCCTGATCTGTTAATGCACTAAGCTGCTAGCCTCCTCCTCACCGCTGCCCTCTGCCAAGGCAGGGTGGATGGAAGAAGTCAGTGCTGTCTTGCTGGATGAATGAGGACTTCTGCCAGATGGGAGCGTCTCAGAGCTAGGGGACAGGGGTGGAAGGCTAAGGGGTGTGGGTGGGATGAATGATGTCCTAATCGCTGATCCGTCTGCAGAGATCCAAGAGGAGCAGACTAGGACACGGTGAGAGTAAGTGGGTCACGTCAGCCTCAGGTGCCCTGGGACAAGGATTCCCCATGGGACGTCTGTGCCTCACAGAATTATCTTACTTCATGTCCTGTGAAACCACCAGTCATGAAATTCCAAATCTAGGCCTTCCTTGAGCGGTAGAGTTTCTTGTGGAGAAGTTCCATGGCCTTATTTCTCATAAACCTTTCCCTGGCGGTATTTCATGCCTCTTCTGGCCACAGTCAGGCTTCTGGATGTTCAAAAGTTGGGCACATTTTTTCAGAATTAGTTGACTATTAAAAAAATGTTGATACACATAAACAGATGTGCACCTCAGGTCCAATATGACATTCCCAACTTCCATGGTAGAAAGCAACTCTTTTCAGCTAAAATATTTCACTATGATGGTCTACCTTCAGAAGCCTTGGACCTCGCTGCCAGTGCCAGCAGCATCTGAAAGCTCTGCTGCTTCTCCAAGGTTTTGTATACAAACATGGTTCTCTCATGGGAAAGTTAATTTTCATCTCCCAGAAAGTAATTTTCTCCTCCTATCTCTGTGAGGCTTTCTAACACACCCTCATCGTGTCCTGACTTCTCCCAAGGAGTAAAGAGTTGTACAAATGAAGCATAGCTATGGGGAGAAGAGGTGAAATGACAGTCTGGTTTGGGTGGTAGGGGGAAGGATCAGCAGTATTTTTTGCACAGAGGTTTTTTCCTTGATCAGTGGACCCTCTCCACATGCTAAGGTGTGATGCAGTTTTGGCTTCATATGCGGTACCCAGAAACTTTTCATACAGAGGGCTGCCAACGACTGGACCAAGAGGACTTTTACCAGACCTTCAATTAGATCTGGACCAGGACCTTTCCCCATTTTGGAAGCTGAATATGGAGCAGGTAAGCCTGAGCCTCCTCTGTCATGCTGACAGTGGGCTGTCCCTTCCCAGTTGTCCTCACAGACTCAGTTTTCTTCCCCTGCGAGCTGAGACTGGTGTTTCGGTCGATACCCCGAGGCTGGTGGATTTAGAGCTCCCCGCAGGTCAGTGGCAGCTGGAGCAATGCTGAAGGCCTCGCATAAACTCAGGGTAGGAAAATGACACCGGTGGGGATAGCTGGTTCCTCTAGGACATGTCCTGAATGTAACCTCAGTTCCCTCTGTGTCTCTGTCACAGAAATGGAAAGTGATGCCTTTAATTTGGTGTCTCTTAGCAGGGGAACTTTATAGGCTGTCTCCCAGAGAGCTCTCAATTGTTTTCTATGCTGACTCTATGACAAAGAAGGCAATAGCAAAATTCAGGACCTGTTTAATGTGAGAGGAGAGGTTTGCTTTCTTTGTGTTTGTCCGTAAGAAAATGAAGGGTTTCTTTCCCTCTTGCAGGTTTTTTCTGCTTTGCTAAGCTCTTTGAGATGAGATTGTCTCTTATTCATTGTTTGTCAGCACAACGCGTGACGGAGCCCTGAGCTGCTCTGGGCTTTCATGTCCTGTGTAAAGCAAGAAATGATAATTATAATCAAATAACTAACTTGCACTGAGCTGATACGGTTGGCTCACTGGGCTCGAGCGACAGGCAGAGCAAACCACGAGGCTGTGCCAGGGGAGGTGGATTTCCCAGAGTGGTGGCAGTTGGGAGCTCTTTGTGGTGCCTCTCCCCATCCCTGTGCAAGGTTCTTCCTTGCTGCTTGGGCAGAGGCACGGGAGCGACTTGCCCAAGGGCACAGAGGGAATGACTTGCAGAGCAAGATGTGGAGAAATGCAAAAGCAAAAGAAATCAGTCATGAAGCAAACATCTGTGTCTAGATTATGGTGATGGACTAACGCACAGGATCTTAAGCCTTGGCCCTGAGCACCAACACCAAATGTAAAATGGTGCTGAGCTCGCTTTTGTGATTTTGGCTGGTTCTGTAACGTGCTGCTCGGAGTCTCCCTTCTGGAGGGGCTCACTCCTCCCTGGTGGGCAGGAGAAGAGGGAGGAAGGTGCAAATATTTTGATGCCTTCTGGTACCCCCAGCTGCCCTGGGAAGACCCTGTTTCCCCATATCAGATCGCAGCCATGAGTGGCCACTGTGCTGAACTGCTTACGCCGGGCTTGTGAGCTCCCTCGCCAGGAAAGGGGTTAAAGAAAGATAAAGCCGGAGCATTATAGAGACCATATGGAGGGGAAGAAAACCCTTTATCCTGTGATTGGATTAATTCCCCGGTGGAGGTGAGGCTGAGTGGAGCTGACAGGTCGTGATGGGTGAGGCGCTGCCAGCCGCCCCGTCCAAAGCAGGATGTGTGTGCACAAACTTGTAGATCAATCCATTAGAGTGGATCAAATAGATTTAAATGTGTGGTGGGGAGAAGGAGGACACAGATGTATTTACAATTCGGTTCGGTGGGCCGGTCCTCCCGCAGCAGGGATTAACCCAGCCATGGCCAGCAGCCTCAACGCTGGGGCCAGCTGCCTGCTGCTCCTCTGGGTTTGCATCCATCCAGGACAAAGATCTGGTGGTGCAGAGAGGTTCTAGGTACCCTGCCCTTGCTTCTGCCCCGCCCCCCCCCCCCCAAAAAAAATAAAAGTGCACAGAATTCTGCCCCCTGCCTTGCTCACAGCCTCCAAAGGGCTGCACCCACAAGGGTTGGGCAGGAGGAACCCCAGCTCCTGTTTTCCATGCGGGTTCCCTGTCACAGCTCCTTCCCCAGGCTCTCCCCACCAGCTCTCCCCTCTCTTGCAGGGGGTGGATAGAGCCAGAAGGCAGCTGGGAAGTGGGGAGAGCTTCACCACTGCCAACCTCATCTCATGTGCATGGTATTTGCAAGCAAGCAGGCCCCTGTCACCTCCCAGGCTTTTCCTCCTGCTGCCGAGCCAGGTAACATCTCTACCAGCACCGTAGGATTTCCTTGGAGAGACAGAAAGTCTTTGGGATGTGTCATTTTCTTGCCAAGGAGCTGAGCAATCCCGGATCAGCTGTGAACCTGCACCACTCCGTGTGGTGCTGTCAACACTTTTAACTAAGTGATAAACCAGGGCTGTAGCAGAGTAGGCAGGTT